CTGAGATGAGGTACCGTACATCCAACCATGCACACAGCCATACATCCTACCATGAAACAGTGTGTGTGTCCAGCATGGATGCTTCTATGAGTAAACATGGAACCTAAACATGGAGACAAGACACAAAAGACCCCCCTGCCCAAGTTAGGTTTGAAGTTATCTTCTGACTGGAAGTGATCTTACCATTTTGGAACGGCTCAGCCAGAGTCATGCAGGTAGTTGGAGGGCTTGGTGTTGACGAGAGATTCTAGCCTGAACGACTCGCTGCTCATCTTCAATATCAATGCTTTTTTCATTGATTATTATTAATAGTGCAATGTCTCTACATACACATGTATACACTCAACAAAAATATAAAGGCAACACCTTTGTTTCTTTTCCCATTTTTCATGAGATAGACTTAAAGATCTAAAAGTCATTCCAGATACATAATATCCCCATTTCTCTCAAACATTGTTCACAAATCAGTCTAAATGTGTGATAGTGAGCACTTCTGCTTTGCTGAGATAATTCATTCCACCTCATAGGTGTGCCACATCAAGATGCTGATCTGACATCATGAGTAGTGCACAGGTGTACCTTAGACTGCCCACAATAAAAGGTCACCCTGGATTGTGCAGTTTTTTTTCTTTATTGGGGATCTGGGGACTCAGAAACGGTCAGTATGTGATGTGACCACCATTTGCCTCATGCAGTGCAACACATCTTCGCAAAGAGTTTATCAGATTGTCAATTGTGGCCTGTGGAATGTTGGTCCACTCCTCTTCAAGCGAAGTTGTTGGATATTAGTGGGAACTGGTACACGCTGTCATATACGCCGGTCAAGCACATCCCAAACATGCTCAACGGGTGACATGTCCGGTGAGTATGCTGGCCATGCAAGAACTGGGACATTTTCAGCTTCCAAGAATTGTGTACAGATCCTTGCAACATGGGGCCGTGCATTATCTTGCTGAAACATGAGGTGATGTTCATGGATGTACGGCACAACAATGGGCCTCAGGATCTCATCACGTCATCTCTGTGTATTCAAAATGCCATCAATAAAATGCACCTGTGTTCTTCGTCCATAACAGATGCCTGCCCATACCATAACCCCACCACCACCATGGGCCACTCGATCCACAACATTGACATCAGTAAAGCACTCACCCACACGACGCCACACAGGCTGTCTGCCATCTGCCCTGAACAATGTAAACCGAAATTCATCCGTGAAGACAAACTCTCCAACGTGCCAGACACCATCGAATGTGAGCATTTGCCCACTCAAGTCTGTTACGGCGACGAGCTGGAGTCAGGTCAAGACCCCGATGAGGACGACAAGCATGCAGTTGAGGTTCCCTGAGATGGTTTCTGACAGTTTGTGCAGAAATTGTTTGGTTATGCCCTCCAATTGTTTCAGCAGCTGTCTGAGTGGCTGGTCTCAGACGATCTTGGAGGTGAACCTGCTGGATGTGGAGGTCCTTGGCTGGTGTGGTTACACGTCTTCTGCGGTTGTGAGGCCGGTTGGATGTACTGCCATATTCTCTGAAACGCCTTTGGAGATGGCTTATGGTGACGAAATGAACATTCAATGCACGAGCAACAGATCTGGTTGACATTCCTGCTGTCAGCATGCCAATTGCATGCTCCCTCAATCAGCATCTTGATGTGGCACACCTGTGAGGTGGGATGGATTATCTCAGCAAAGCAGAAGTGCTCACTATCACACATTTAGACTGATTTGTGAACAATGTTTGAGAGAAATGGTGATATTGTGTATCTGGACTGAATTTTAGATCTTTAAGTCCATCTCATGAAAAATCTGAGCAGAAACAAAGGTGTTGTGTTTATATTTTTGTTGAGTGTATTTATACAAACAAGGTATTTCTTCTTTTATACTGTTATAAAGGGTGGGCCATTTATATGGATACACCTTAATAAAATGGGAATGGTTGGTGATATTAATGTCATGTTTGTGGCACATTAGTATATGTGAGGGGGCAAACTTTTCAAGATGGGTGGTGAACATGTTGGCCATTTTGAACTCAGCCATCTTGGATCCAACTTTTGTTTTTTCAACTGGAAGAGGGTCATGTGACACATCAAACTTATTGGGAATTTCACAAGAAAAACAGTGGTGTGCTTGGTTTGAATGTAACTTTATTCTTTCATGAATCATTTACAAGTTTTTGACCACTTATAAAATGTGTTCAATGTGCTGTCCATTGTGTTGGATTGTCAATGCAACCCTCTTCTCCCACTCTTCACACACTGATAGCAACACCGCAGGAGAAAGGCCAGCACAGACTTCCAGTATCCATAGTTTCAGGTGCTGCATATCTCGTATCTTCACACCATAGACAACTGCTTTCAGATGACCCCAAAGATAAAAGTGTAAGGGGGTCAGATCGGGAGACCTTGGGGGCCATTCAACTGGCCCACGATGACCAATCCACTGTCCAGAAAACTGTTCATCTAGGAATGCTCGGACCTGACACCCTTAATGTGGTGGTGCACCATCTTGCTGAAAAAACTCAGGGAATGTGCCAACTTCAGTGCATAAAGAGGGAAACACATCATCATGTAGCTAGCGATGGTTACCGAATTCGGTACTTTTTAAGGTACTGCCCGAATTCCATAGTACCGACCGAGCACCGATTCACGTCATTTCAAACGGTGCCTCGTTTCGGTACCCGTCCTTCATAACAAGAACTTGCCAAGACAGCTGCGCATGCGCAAGAGCGTTATGTCGTCGGTCCCTGTGAGCGAGTTGTAAACAGAGCAGCATGGGTAGAAAGAACGCACGCTAACGCTTGGGTCCACTTCACTAAATGTGATGGGTAACTGCGTGATGATGAAACCAGCGACAGACAACGATCTAAGTGAGACATCCTCATCTTAATCTGCTCCGGTAGGTAAATAAAATGTTTAAGATAACGTTACCTTGATATGTTAGCTTCCGTTTCACTAATGTTGCGTTCGCTTTCTCCTCGGAACTCCGAATTTCCGACTAGAAAAACATGAATGCGCTCTAAAGTTTGGCTTCACTTTACTAAATGCGACGGGTGATTGGGTGAAGATGAAACCAGCGACAACGATCTAAGTGTGAGGCATCATCGTTTTAATCTGCTCCAGCAGTTAAATAAACTGTTTAGGATAATGTTAGCTTGATATGTTAGCTTCCATTGCCACCGTTGTTATCAGCTAATGGTGCGTTCGCTTTGTTCTCGGAAATTCTAACTTCCCAGTAGGAAAAATCAAATGAAAAAAGACGGCAAAAGGAATGAAGATACACAGAAAATTTAGTTCACAGTAATGATGTTTGCTTCAGTTTAATTATCAGCTTATAAAACTACAAGGACGATGTTAAAATACAAACAGTTGAATGTTATTTATCGTGATATTTATCAAATATTGTTATATATTGAGAAAAATAAATATTTAATTATAAAAGAGAATTAAAATAATAAACACTCAAAAGTATTGAAAATTGGTACCGTTAAGTACCGGTATCGATTCGTAGGTACCGGGAATTAGTACCGGATCGATTCAAATGTCAAAGGTACCCATCCCTACATGTAGCAATTTAAAATATCCAGTGGCCTTGAGGTTTCCATTGATGAAGAATGGCCCCGCTATCTTCGTACCCCATATACCACACCTTACCTTCAATTTTTTGTTCCAACAGTCTTGGAGGGATCTATCCAATGTGGGTAAGTGTCAGACCAATAGTGGTGGTTTTCTTTGTTAACTTCACCGTTCACATAACAGTTTGCCTCATCACTAAACAAAATCTTCTGCATGAACTGAGGGTCCTGTTCCAATTTTTGTTTTGCCCATTATGCAAATTCTGTGTGCTGATCTGGGTCATCCTCATTGACATGCTGCAGTAGGTGGAGTTTGTAAGGGTGCCATTTGTGAGTAGCTAATATCCGCCGGAGGGATGTTTGACTGATGCCACTCTCCAGTGCCATGCGGCGAGTGCTACGCTGTGGGCTCTTGTTGAATGAAGCTAGGACAGCCACTGATGTTTCTTCATTAGTGACAGTTTTCATGCGTCCACATTTTGGCAAATCCAACACTGAACCAGTTTAACGAAACTTAGCAAGCAGTTTGCTAACTGTAGTATGGGAGATGGGTGGTCTTGTAGGGTGTCTTGCATTGAAATCTGCTGCAACGACCCGGTTACTGCGTTCACCAGATATCACACAATTTGATATCAAGTCAGTGACTTGATGCAATTTGCTAGGTTCCTTATATAGGAAACTTTTTACTGATTGGCTTAATGAACTGACCTGTATTGGAATGTTTACTGTGTGAAGTGCCTTGAGACAACTCTTGTCGTCATTTGGCGCTTTATAAAAAAGAAGTATAATAAATAAGATTTTCAAAATTTTCGATCCGCTCCTCACATGTTAACCTCTTCGACATGTCAATGGCTGTGAACAAAGAGAAACTTGTAAATAACTCATGAAGGAATAAAGTTATGTTCAAACCAAGCTTACCATTGTTTTTCTTGTGAAATTCCCAATTAGTTTGTGTCACATGACCCTCTTCCTATTGAAAAAAACAAAAGTTGGATCCAAGATGGCTGACTCCCCGTGTCCTGTCTAGCTGTGAAGCAAAAGGAATTGATGTCTGAATGCTGGTGACAAGCCTTACAGATTTACTCTCAGGTGGAGCATCAAAGCTTCTGCTTTTAATGTCACGCCTGATACTTAAAACTTTATTGTTATTGTTTTTTTTTATGCTTTGTAATTCCGTCCAGACACAGAGACAGAGATGAAAGAGAAAGGAATAGACAAAAGGAAAGGAACAATGACGAACAAGAGTTTGCTTCTAGACCTGCAGAAAATAGACACACAGAAATACAACAGGAGCAAGCTATCACTGTGTCAACCTGATGAGGAAATATAAAATCAACATTGTTTTACTGAACAATCACACGATAATAAATCACAGTGCATTTAGTGCCAACCACAGCCTTAAGACGTGTGTTGAACGTGCCCAAATCCATACTTATGAGAGCACCATGTGAGCACCTGTGTGTGTACATGCGGTTGTATATGTAAGGTTTCTCTATAGGAGCGTCCAATAGAGTGTGAGGGACCACAGATCTGCCCCCCAAAGATGTGTAGGAGACGGAGGGAGCGCCAAGTCCCAGAGATCCAGGCGCTGCCCCAGAACATAGGAACCCCAAGGAGACTGCAACCAGAAAGGCCCCGCCCCCCTCGAGAGGCACAGAGGATCGCCCCGAGGGGCCACAACCAGCAGCCGGCAGAGTCCCGGGAGATATCAGCAGCAAGCCCACAGGCCCGCCCGCAGCCTCCCACCCCCTAGCCGGCTGTGCCTGGGACCCACGTCTAGTTAGCTGGAACTGAGGTGCAGTCGTGGAAACTGCACAGGTGCTTTTGATGCGGGGAATACCACTTCTATGATGGGTAACAACATCGGCATGACACCTGACCGCTGCAGTGCCGTTTTAGTTCCTAGTTTGATTCATAGATGCGTTGTGTGTGTGTAGGCGGTAGAGAGACGGACTCGCTCTCCGGGTGAACAGTATGAGCCTTGGAATCGATGCGATTCACATGGGTACAGCTGGAGTGAACCAAATCTCTTGAGAGAGGAACGTTGGAACGTGTTGGCTAGGTTTTTTTTTTTTGGTGGATCGAGACATTGGATCTCTTCCTGACGAGGAAGATGGCGAGCCTTGTCTGTTGATGGAACCAAAACCATACCAAGTGGGCCTGAAGAGCAGGTTGCTCTTCTTCTTTGAACAGTCTCGACAGTGCTGTCGGGCAAAATCGCACTAACTGGACACATGACTTTTGTATTGACTGGTTGAACTTTGACTTTTAAGCTGGCAGACTGTACAACATTGAGGTCAGACTGACTGTTTACATATTGTCACTAATATTTCATTTTGTGTTGTGTGTGTGGTTCTGTTCAAAAGCTGCATTAAAGTGGTGATATACATACCATTTGTACCAAACCTGCGATTCCAGTCATTCTTAAAACAACTCTCATCAATTCTTTTCAAACATAACTATGCCCATTTGCATATTTTTTTCTTTAACTGCCTTACTGTATCCTGCAATATGTTACATGTGTCACACAATTAATGCACCAGTTCACATGCTTCTGAGTCAATTAGCCGATTAGAGTGTGGCACCAGGGTTACAATACTCTAATATTCTGAGATACTGAATTTGAGATTTTCATTAGTTGTCAGTTAAAATCATCAACATCCATCCAGTTTTGGTCGCTTATCCGGGGTCTAGTCGCGGGGGCAGTAGCCTAAGCAGGTAGCCACCCCCCACCCCCACCCCCCAGTCACTTGGACCAGCTCCTCTGGGGGAGTCCTCAGGCGCTTCCTGGCCAGCTGTGAGACAACGTCTCTCCAGCGTGTCATGGGTCTTCTTTTAGGTCTTCTGCCGGTTGAACGTGCCCAGAAAACCTCACCAGGGGGCATCCTAACTAGATGACCATGCCACCTTAACTGGCTCCTCTCGATGTGGAGGAGCAGCTGATCTACTCTGAGCCCCTCCCGGATGACCGAGCTTCTCACCCTATCTCTAAGGGAGAGCCCAGCCACTCTGAAGAGAAAACTCATTTCGGCCGGTTGTATCCGTGATCTCGTTCTTTCGGTCACTACCCAAAGCTCATGACCATAGGTGAGGGTAGGAACGTAGATCAACCGGTAAATCGAGAGCTTCGCCTTCTGGCTCAGCTCTCTCTTCACCACGACAGATCAGATGCAGCACCAATTCACCTGTCGATCTGGCGCTCACTCATGACCTCAGAGACACCTCTCCAGAACCCCTGAATAGACTTTACAATGGAGGCTCAGGACTGTGGTGTAGGTGGAACACATCCTGTGGGCCCCCTTTTTAAATAGGTGGACCACCACCTCAATCTACCAGTCCAATGGAACTGTACCAATGTCCACCCAATATTGTAGATCCACATTAGCCAACACAGCCCTAAGAGATCCAGAACCTTAAGAAACCCTGGGCAGATCTTATCCACCTCTGGAGCCATGTCACTAAGGAGCTTCATGACCACCTCTGTCACTTCGGACCCAGAGAGTCCAACCCAAAGTCCCCGGACTTTGCTTCCTCACTGGTAGACTGGTGGGGTTGAAGTGTTCTGTCATCAATACTAAAGAAATAAACATTTGAAATGCATCAGTCTCTGTGTAGTGAATTAATCTAATATACAAGTTTCACTTTTTAAATGGAATTACTAAAATAAATCTACTTTGTCATGATATTGTAATGTTATGACTAGCGCCCGTATAAATAAGGCCACAAGAGAGAAAGGGGTCTTTGTGAATTTTCATTCATTTATTTGTTTCTTTATTTAATAGGGACAGTGCATATTAATGAAGTTCAACAATGAATTGCATCAATAAATATGCCAGATTGTAGCACGAGTGCTAATTCACATCAGCAGTCCCTAGGCAGGTAATAAAAGCAATAAAAGAAAATTAAGAATTATATTTAAAACTAGGAAACTAGGAAAAACATAATTAACATAATATGGGAAATTTTTTGTATCAAGGCTAACATTGGAAGAGGGTGGAAAAGACAGTGAAATACGTGAGTTTCACATCCTAAATGAGAGACATGGCAGGTGTGGAAGGCCCGTTGGTGACACACAAGTGTCTATCAGCTGCAGACATGCACTCTCCCATCCTCATTTACTAATATTTCAGGAGTGACGACCATTGTTTAATGCGAGTGCTGCCTATTTTTTAGAGCATAAGGCTGGACCATATCACCGTAGTAACTAGCCTGGAGTTACTGAGTGAAACACGTGCATGAAGCTGTGCAGAAAAGTTCTTATTCAAGCATTTTAGCCCGTGTGTGTGTGTGTGTGTGTGTGTGTGTGTGTGTGTGTGTGTGTGTGTGTGTGTGTGTGTGTGTGTGTGTGTGTGTGTGTGTGTGAGATAATATGTGGGATTTTTAGTTGGCTGAACACCTTTCTCAGTAAATCAGAAGCACTGGGGGTGAATGGGACCCCAAAGATGGAGGCCTGCTGCTACATCATCTCCTATAGGCAGCGCCAGTCCACGAGGCGTATAAATATATGATGTGTGTGGTATGGGCTGCCACACAGTGTGGTATAGTCTATTAGACTATAGATATAGGTGTATAAACTGTTGCCCAACAAACAGCTGTATTGCGTTACCACATCTAAGGGAAATATTCAGTTTAGTTATTACCAAGGGCTTGTCCTTACAACAAAAATCAATCTAGCAGAGGAATGTCCTCACTTCATGTGTTCACGTTATACTTTTGTGGGTAGTTTGACACTAAAGTGCCTACCCACGCACACACACACCTTCTCCAGTTCATTCATTCTTATTTTACCAGTTTGTCTGTGGAGTGGATTTAGTTTTGCTGACGTGTGTTTAGCTATAGAGGTTCTCCTTGTAATCTATGTGGCTGCTGATAGATACCGTGTGGGTGTGTGTGTCTATTGCAGCGTTCCCTCCAACACCTCCATGAAGAACATCACATCTAACTACAGCATGGAGTGTGGAACGTATGAGCAGCTGGGCTACTGGCCCAACAACTTTGATGACTTTGCTGTGAGTAGATTAGATGCCTGATTAGAACCCAAGTAGAACATGATTACACAGAAGGCTCTAGGCATGATGGGTGCATCGCTTTGTCTGCCTTCATCTGCCTCTGCTGGGCATTGGACTTATTTAAATGAACTCATCTCTGCACATGTGTAATGTTTCATTAATGTGTTTCTCAACACACTACCTCTGTCCAGGCTGCCATTATTTTGCTCTATGATGTGATGATCGTAAACAACTGGCAGGCCTTCCTAGAGGCCTACAGCAGATACACCACAGAGTAAGAAATGATGATGATGATGATGATGATGGTAATGTTTACGATGATGGTTATGATGGTGAAAGTGAGGGTGGTGATGATGATCATAACTAGGGCTGCACAATATATCGTAAATATATCGTTATCGCGATATCAGCATACACAATATGCATAATCACAAAGAACAGATAAATATCACAATGAATGGTCAGCTCAAATGTTTGCTACACATAATGCATTCTGTCAAACGGGAGCATGATGTTTTTTACCTAATCAAATAGAGCTCTTCACTCATTTGGCCAATTAGGTGGGTTCTCATAGGCTAGAGTCCCGCCCCCGAGGCGGACAGCACTTAATGTTGATGGTTAGCAAACACCTGAGTTAGCTTTGTTCTGCTCGTTCTGCTGATTCTGCTTTTCCCAGGATCCACTGATTGCCTTTTCATGTTCATTTTCTTTTTCCCCTTTCCTCAAATCTTTTGCTTTTCTCATTTTTATGATTTTTTTCTTTGTTTTTGACAATTTTTGTTCCTGAGTTAAGTTTTTATCTATCACAAGTAATATCATCATCGCAATATTAATCACTGTTATCGAATATCGCAGATTTTTCTAATATCGTGCAGCCCTAATTATAACGATGATGATAATGAAGATGAAGATGATGATGACAACGATGACAATTATGATTTATTTTCCCCAGATGGTCCAAACTCTATTTCCTGTGCTGGTGGCTGACCTCCTCTGTGATGTGGGTTAACCTGTTTGTGGCTCTCATCCTAGAGGTCAGTTCAGAACCCAGAGGCTTCTAAGCATATCACACCTCTTACTCAATTCTATTCTATTCAAATCGATTATATTCTATTCTATTCTGTTCAGTTCTACTCATTTTTAGTCTGTTCTATTTTGTCCTATTCGGTTCTGTTCTTTTCTTTTCTGTTCTCGTCGTCTTTCTCCGCTTATCCGGGTCCGGGTCGCGGGGGCAGCATCCCAACTAGGGAGCTCCAGACCGTCCTCTCCCTGGCCAACTTCACCAGCTCCTCCGGCAGGACCCCAAGGCGTTCCCGGACCAGATTGGAGATGTAACCTCTCCAACGTGTCCTGGGTCGACCAGGGGGCCTCCTGCCGCGAGACATGCCTGAAACACCTCCCCAAGGAGGCGTCGAGGAGACATCCTGACCAGATGCCCAAACCACCTCAACTGACTCCTTTCGATCTGGAGGAGCAGCGGTTCTACTCCGAGTCCCTCCCGAATGTCCGAGCTCCTCACCCTATCTCTAAGGCTGAGCCCGGCCACCCTACGGAGGAAACTCATTTCGGCCGCTTGTATCCGCAATCTCATTCTTTCGGTCATTACCCAAAGCTCATGACCATAGGTGAGGATTGGGACGTAGATCGACCGGTAAATCGAGAGCCTGGCTTTCTGGCTCAGCTCCCTCTTCACCACGACAGATCGGCTCAGTGTCCGCATCACTGCAGACGCCGAACCAATCCGCCTGTAGATCTCCCGATCCCTCCTACCCTCACTTGTGAACAAGACCCCGAGATACTTAAACTCCTCCACTTGAGGTAGGACCTCTCTCCCGACCCGGAGTTGGCAAGCCATCCTTTTCTGGTCGAGAACCATTGTGTCAGATTTGGAGGTGCTGATCCTCATCCCAGCCGCTTCACACTCGGCCGCGAACCTACCCAGCAAGAGCTGAAGGTCAGAGCTGGATGAAGCTAGGAGGACCACATCATCCACAAAAAGCAGAGAAGAGATTATCCTGCCACCAAACTCGACACACTCCACACCACGGCTGCGCCTAGAAATTCTGTCCATAAAGGTAATGAACAGAACCGGTGACAAAGGGCAGCCTTGGCGGAGTCCAACCCTCACCGAGAACAGGTCCGACTAACTACCAGCTATGCGGACAAAACTCACGCTCCTCTGGTAAAGGGACTGAATGGCCCTTAACAGAAAGCCACCCACCCCATACTCCTGGAGCGTCCCCCACAGGGTAACCCTGGGGACACGGTCATAAGCCTTCTCCAAATCCACAAAACACATGTGGATTGGTTGGGCAAACTCCCAATGCCCCCTCCATCACTCTTGCAAGGGTATAGAGCTGGTCCACAGTTCCACGGCCAGGACGAAAACCACATTGCTCCTCCTCAATCTGAGATTCAACTATCGATCAGACTCTCCTCTCCAGTACCTTGGAGTAGACCTTTCCAGGGAGGCTGAGGAGTGTGATCCCCCTATAGTTGGAACACACACCCCTGTCACCCTTCTTAAAGATGGGGACCACCACCCCGGTCTGCCACTCCACAGGAACTGCCCCCGATGACCACGCAATGTTGCAGAGACGTGGCAACCACGACAGCCCTACCACATCCATAGCCTTGAGACACCCAGGATGAATCTCATCCGCCCCCGGGGCTCTGCCGCTGTGTAGTTGTTTGACTACCTCAGCAACTTCTGCCCCAGAGATTGGACAGTCCATCCCCAGGTCGCCCGGCTCTGGCTCCTCCTCGGAATGCGCGTAGGTGGGATTGAGGAGCTCCTCAAAGTATTCCTTCTACCGTCCGACTATAGCCCCAGTTGACATCAGCAGCTCCCCATCCCCACTGTAAACAGTGTGAGTGAGTTGCTGCCTCCCTCTCCTGAGGCGCCGGACAGTTTACTAGAACCTCTTTGGAGCCGATCGATTATCTTTCTCCATGGCCTCACCGCACTCCTCCCATGCCCGAGATTTTGCCTTGGCAACTGCCACTGCTGCACCCCGCTTGGCTATCCGGTATCCGTCAGCTGCCTCTGGAGACCCACAGACCAGCTACACCCTGTAGGCCTACTTCTTCAGCCTGACGGCTCCCCGAACCTCTGGTGTCCACCAGCGGGCATGGGGGTTGCCACCACGTCTGGCACCGGCCACCTTGTGACCACAGCTAGCAACCGCCACCCCAACAATCGCAGAGTGGAACAAGGCCCACTCGGAGTCAATGTCCCCCACTGCTCTCGGGACGCGGTCAAAGCTCTTCCAGAGGTGGGAGTTGAAGACCGTCTTGACAGGTTCTTCTGCCAAGCATTCCCAGCACACCGTCACTATGCACTTGGGTCTGCCAGGTCTACGCGGCATCTTCCCCTGCCATCTGATCCAACTCACCACCAGGTGGTGATCAGTTGACAGCTCTGCTCCTCTATTCACTCGGGTGTCCAAAACATACGGCCGCAGGTCAGATGATACGACTACTAAGTCTATCATCGACCTGCGACCTAGGCTGCCCTGTTACCAAGTGTACCGATAGGCATCCTTATGTTCAAACATGGTGTTCGTTATGGCTGTAACGGAATGAAATGACTGTTTTTTTCCCTCCTCTGCACAGGACTAGTCTGCATGAGATATGGTCTCAAGGTCTCATGCATTCGCTCTAACCTGCTTATTTTCAGCTCAACAGAAGAATGAAGAATGAACTCTTTTCTTTTAATTAATCAAAGAACTCTATTTTAATAAAGCTAATCCAACCAAGTGTTAGTCAACAAATAAGATGTGGCCGATCTGTGAAATCAAAATATTAATTACTTTATTATAATCCTATAGAATATAAGGTACTATGACTTTAAATGTTCCAACAGGACTCATTTCGCGTAGCGTTAGAAAGACATGACACATTCCTTTCACTGATCCAATCAGAATCTGACAGATCTGACTGAGGCGTGGTTTTGATGGTGTTTGATAACTCTGTCAACTTTTCATTCGACCATAAACCATAACATCCGATGTATAAAACTATGCCCACGTCATCTCTAACGGCAGTTCAAAGCGTTCTAGAGAAGTGTCAGAGTGGCCAATCCGTAACTTTCCTCTTTAACCGAAGGAACAACGACTAGCTAGAAAATTCGTTTTTGTTCCAATTGCTGCAACAGTTCCTTTCAAAATAAAAGCTGATCCATCAAGACCCAGGCTCGGGTCTCACCAGACGCCAACAAATTGTTGCGATCCGGAAGTAACTCACAGACTGGACTGGTCGGCAACCGCTGTTTTTCCTACCAACTCGTTTCCTGATAAGGTCAAGCTATACCTCGACATTCCTGATCTAAAGGGGACTTCCTGAAGGGTAGGTAGACCGGCAAATGGCGTCGAATATGTTTATGAATCTCCTAACCAAAGCTTATTGTGAAGACATCACCTTCAGTTCCCATCAGAACTAATCGCAGCTTCGGATTTGCTGGTTCTGATCAACATCACACGTCATCCATTCACCGTCTCATCCACTTTAGATACTCCATACATTTAGTTTTAAAGTCAGTCTAGTTTAACTGCGGCTTGCACAGAAGTCCAATAACAAAACACCACTCGAGTTCCTCCCAATCACACCCCTCCAGGTCATGCTGTCATTGCCCATGTGAGCATTGAAGCCCCCAGCAGGACAATGGAGTCCCCTGATGGAGCACGACCTAGCACTCATCCCAGGGACTCCAAAAAGGGTGGGTACTCTGAACTGATATTTGGCCCATAAGCACAAACAACAGTCAGGACCCGTTCCCCGACCCAAAGGCGCAGGGAAGCTACCCTCTCATCCCCCGGGGTAAACCCCAACACACAGGCAGAGAGTCTTGGGGCTAACAAAAAGCCAACCCCAGCCCTCCGCCTCTCACCCGGAGCAACTCCAGCAAAGGAGAGTGTCCAACCCCTCTCAAGGACTTGGGTTCCAGAGCCAATGCTATGTGTCGAGGTGAGTCCGACTATATCTAGCTGGTACCGCTCAACCTCTCCCACAAGCTCCTGCTCCTTCCCCGCCAGCGAGGTGACGTTCCATGTCCCAATAACCAGTTTCTTTGTCCGGGGATCGGACCGCCAAGGCTCCCGCCTCGGTCTGCCACCCGATCCACACTGCTCCGGACCCTTCATGTTCCTCCTGCGGGTGGTGGGTCCACAGTTGGATGAGCCCATGTATCCGGTTCGGGCTAGGCCCGGCCGGGCCCCATGGGCGAAAGTCAAGCCACCAGGCGCTCGCTCACGGGCCCCAACCCCAGGCCTGGCTCCAGGGTGGGACCCCGGTAACCCTCCGGGCCGGGTACTCTGACTCTTTGTTTTTACGTCCATGAAAGATATTCTGTTCTGTTCTGTTCTGTTCTATTCTATTCTGTTCTACTCTTTTTTATTCTGTTCTATTCTGTCTTATTCAGTTCTGTTCTTTTCTATTCTATTCTATTATTTTTAATCTATTCTGTTCTATTATATTTTGTTCTGTTCTTTTATATTTTGTTTTGTTCTATTCTGTTCTATTTTATTCAGTTCAATTCTACTCTGTTATATTCAGTTCTGTTTTATTCAATTCTATTATGTTCTATTTTATTCTGTTCTCTTATATTATGTTCTTTTCTAATCTATTCTTTTCTATTATATTCTGTTTTATTATATTCTATTGTATTCTATTGTTTTCTGTTCTATTCTGTTCTATACTATTCTATTGTGTTCTATTCTATTCAGTTCTATTCTACTATGTTCTGTTCTATTCAGTTCTAATCTATTTTATTCTGATTTATTCTATTATGACCTATTCTATTGTGTCCTATTCTATTCTATTATATTCTGTTCTATTCTTTTCTATTCTATTCTGTTGTATTCTATTTTGTTTCCTGTATACTTACGTGTCAAGTTCGAGCTCCTGACCTTTGTCTTTAAAAATTTGAATGGCTCTGCCCCACAATATTTTTCTGATTTGAATAATCCCTACATGCCAAACTGGGCTCTGAGGTTAGCTGACCCTCTGCTGCTCTGTGTTCCACCAATGAGATATAAATCACAGGGTGAGCAAGCTTTCATGAATGCTGCCCCTACTCCATGGAATGCACTCCCACTCTCAATCAGGCAGGCTACCTCACTCTCATTTTAAATCAGTTTTTATGATATGGCTTTCTCCCATTGTTGATGTTTTCTTGTTTTATTGTGTTGTGTTTTATTGCTGTTCTTGCTGTATTTGACTCACTGTGTTTTTATACTCATACTTGTACAGCACTTTGGTCAGCTGACATGCTGTGTTTTTAAAGGTACTTTACGGAGGTTTGAATTTTCATGCTCACGATTGCCCCCTCAGGCCAAAAGCGTAACGGCAGCTTCAATAGCAGGCTCGTGCACAAGGCGCGCATGCTGTACGTGCACACTTCTTAACAAAAATAACAGCTGAGACAGTCGCGTGTGTGTGTGTGTGTGTGTGGTGTGTGTGTGTGTGTGTGTGTGTGTGTGTGTGTGTGTGTGTGTGTGTGTGTGTGTGTGTGTAGCCCAGAGGATAGGAGAACTTGCAGCTAATTAATTAAATAATTTAGTTCTGTACCTTTCTCTTCAGCACAGCCGACAAAGGTTTATGATGGGTCAGTCCTCCTGCATGCTCAGATCATTCCCTTCCCTTGCTTGAAAAATTGTTCCAAAATGAAAGTTGAACCCACATCTTTTTTATCTGTGAATTCAATGCCGTTCGGTGAGTCTCAAATAAAAATTTGGGCATCTTACTGTAAAAAAAATATACAACTAATGTAAAAAAGAAACTCTAAAGGAACTATGTTCACACCCAGAATCAAACCCAGGTCTTCTGCATGAGAGTCAGACATCTTACAAGGTGAGCTACTCTCTAGTAACATTCACAGTATCCGTAACTTTTATATCCTTGATAACAGCTGAAACAACGTTCAAAGAACGGTTCGGAGCGAAAATGGCTATTTTGTTGCTAATTTGCGCAAAATAGCTAAAAGAAAGTAGCTAAGGGTCCTCAGAAATGTAGCTAGGTTCATCACTAGGCGTTAGGAACAGCGACAAAGTCGCTGAGTTGGCACTACCTCACTCTCTATTGCTAAAGCTAAATGCTACTGGCAATGCCTGAGCGTAACGCGCATGAAGCAGCCTGCTCGACCCGAGCATCTCTCTTTTTCTGTGATTTTACAGAAAAACAGGCAATCACAGTAAAAATGCCAGGGCTCATTCTACATGACCAGGACATTGCAGGAGAATGTATGAAGAAGAAATGTATTATTTCTATACATTTTATGGCTGTCAAACTTCCATAATGCCCCTTTAAATGTGCTTTATAAATAAATGGTATGGTATGGTATGATATGGTACGGTATGGTATGGTATGGTATGGCATTCTATTCTATTGTTTTTACCATGTGATATTATTTCTTTGTGAAAAATACACCCAAGCCCGTTTTTGGCTGTATTAATGCATTTTCCTGTCGTGGTTGATTTCGCGCTGCAGTTGAGAATGTGACCTCACTAGACCAAATTCTTGCTTTGCAATGTTTGGTCTAGGACCGCTCCATTGGAACCTCCGCAGCCCCTAGCAGCATTCTGGCTGGCCAATCACAGCTCTCTAGAGGGGTTTCAAACACATAGAGAGCTGGGATTGGTCCACAATGCAGCTCAGTGGCCTAGTGTGTCCGCCCTGAGACTACGAGATCAGGGTTCGATTCCTGGTCGGGTCATACCAAAGACTTAGTAAACATGGGACCCAATGCCTCCCTGCCTGACATTAATGGTTCCCAAGCGCGGCTGTGTCTGCAGCTCACCACTCCCCCAGGGGATTGGTCAAATGCGGAGAACAAATTTTGCACACAAATCGGTGTGTGAGAACTGATGGGATTTTAACTTTAACAATGGTGGGCCAATCACAGCGCTCTATCTGCTTTGTGGACTAATCACAGTGCAGTCAACCACGCAGCAAGCTAAAACCATTTACTGTCAAATCATCTAAATAAAAGCGATAAAAGGCTACATACTGGCTTGTTTTGACTACCTTCAATGGAGTTTCAATGGGTGTAAACGGTCTTTTTGCCGTTCATCATGGCGAAGGGGGCAGTGACATGAATGGCGTGACATCGCGATGGTGGCACAGGAGTTAAGTGCTCGCCCCGTAATCGGAAGGTTGCAGGTTCGAGTCCCGCTCAGTCTGTCCCTGTCGTTGTGTCCTTGGGCAAGACACTTAACCCACGTTGCCTGCTGGTGGTGATCGGAGGGACCGGTGGCGCCAGTGCTCGGCAGCCTCGCCTCTGTCAGTGCGCCCCAGGGCAGCTGTGGCTACATTGTAGCTCATCCCCACCAGTGTGTGAATGGGTGAATGACTGGTTGTGTTGTAAAGTGCCTTGGGGGGTTCCAGGACTCTAGAAGGCGCTATATCAAATACATAAATTTACCATTTACCATTTACGTGCAAAGGGTCAATAGGACCGTCCAATAGAGTGTGAGGGGCCACCGATCTGCCCCCAAAAATGTGTAGGAGACTGCATTAACCAGTATTGAAAATCTTTTGTTAGATCATATTACACTTGATATAGCCTCTGCTTCCACTTCAAATCAATCTCTATGGGCTACTTTGATCGGTTCCATCACATAGCAATGATGGGGGACCATTGCAGTCATCACTGCGTCGCCTACAGGTTGTGCAGAACAGCGCAGCCAGGTTCCTCACTGGGACCAGGAAACGGGACCACATCAGTCCGGTGCTGGCCTCTCTGCACTGGCTTCCGGTATGCTATCGCTCACAATTCAAAATCCTCGTCTTTGTTTACAATTTCTTCCACGGTGGTGCTCCCCCCTATCTAGCCTCACTCCTGAACAAACATTCCCCATCACGCGCTCTGCGCTCCTCTGAACAAGGCCTGCTCGCTGTCCCTCGTTTTAGGTGTCGTACTCG